CAATGACTGATGTCACCTCGGCATATCATAAATGAGCTAGTGATTTTTAGCATCTGTTTGTTTGTTTGTTTTGTTTTTATCTTGTTCGTTTGTTGGTTCTCTTTCTGCATAAACAGATATATAAACACTACGTTTAGCGAGCTATTAGGCATAGCTTTCAAACACAATACTGAATCTTCTATCTACTCTATACTATGATTTTTTTTATTCTGAAAAAGTAATTATAGAGCGATGCAAGATTATGGATTAGATTGCATGAGCTCATTAAGATGATTATGTTAAGGGTGGACGATTCTGTTTTCCAACATTCTTTATGGCGGGACACCTAACATTTTGGAGGTCATTTTATAACCCGACATCTACACCAGTGGGGTCTAAATAGGGATTTTTGTGGGACTCCCCCTCCCCCCCCCCTACAGACACGCGGACACACACGCACAGATCCATCCTATATTCGAATTTTAGAAATGTAAAAGCCTAATTAGTAATTATTTGAATTGATTGTCAGATTTTTGTACAGTCTCTAGAGCCAACACATTTTAAAATAAAGTAATGACCTATACATAACCTAGTCGGACGCCAATCAAAAATGGTCTAGCGACACCTCTGTTTTATTTGAAAGTTCGTTTATGTAGATTATCCACATCACGAGTACTTCCTAATTATTTTTCATGAGTCGGTGATGAGATTATTGCATACGTTGAAGAGATCATCTCATCTCCGTATTGATATTCATTCATATTAGTACATTATGTAAAGCACTGAATAGCACAGGCAAGTACAGAGTGGATAGCAGCTCCTACATACCAATAAAACTGTACGGTATCTAATCCTAAGTACAGCAATTCGGTTTCTATTCTTCGTGCTCTCCAGAGAATGTCTAATGTACCAATTTCCTTTTTTTATCGAGAGTCGTACTTTGTCGCTGATAAATGCAACGCTTTTATGTCCCAGACCATGCAGGGAGCAAAGTAAACGTAGACTAATACTTGAACAATGGTCTCTAAACCAGTCCAATGCACATGCTTTGAGGCGAGTAGTAATGCAGAACAAACTTTACCTTTCTGGAACTAAAGTTTTCTTACATTTTTCTTCTAGAAATAAAGTTTTTAGCCGGGAATGTGACAGACGAAACGAGACGCATATTATTGGGTTCTTTGCTGCCGGGGATTGATAAGAAAGAGAAAAGATTTTTCTAGAAAAAATATGCAGGTCACATGTGTTGGAGGTATGGCATTCAAATAACATGAAGTTCAAACGATATGGTTAAAAAGGGACTCCTTTTCTAATGTATTTTGTAAGATGAAATCTCCTCGTGAGGTAGGTATATAATTATTCAATGTCGAATGCATGTAATCCAACGATATCACAATGCCCCCCTTCCCATCCCCATACATTATATGTGATCATAATTATATCATGTGCCTAAAAATTATTTCATGTAACGATAATATTAATATTTTGCTTATATAGCGCTTAATACAATGTCTCCAAGCGCTTTACAGATATACTATTACCCCGGTCATTGGATTCAGTGCTTGCTCGCACACACTATGTACACAATCTCCACTCCCTGGGGAGCATTCCAGCCAGGCGTTACTTGACGCTTAAAAACTGTAAGGCTATTATGTTATTGCAATCTCACCCCTATCCCTGGAATTAACAAAATGTTCCATGAAAATATAAAGGTTGAATCCAGCACGTTAAAAGTATTAATCTGACATTTTGAAAAAGTGATCGCTCCTCGGCCCTATTAAATAGTGTTAACAACGTAATGAGAATCCCGTCATGTCTTTTAGGTTGATATTCCAGCTTTCAAATAGGGTGATGGAACATTGCCAAACATAAAAGAACTTCTAAAGGTGAAAATCATAACATTTCGTGTTTACAGGGAAAATTGGGAAGACCATAAATTAAGTATTCCTGCTAAGGAAAGCGGGAAGGAAAGCCATAACTTGAAAACTTGAAATGGCACGATTAACGTACAATGTTCATTATGCTTTGTTCTAGAGATTATATCAATTTAGTTCTACGTATTACCACCATCAAAAAAAAATTCGCAATATGTTTGCATATTAAACCCCTTTTTCTATTTCGTGTAACTAACGTTACTTATATTTATGTATTTACTTCTATATATGTTGTATCCGCTTCAGATTTCGATTGCTTGTATTTCAGTTTAGTTTACAATGATCATCTGAATTTTGCTGTTTCAATGTTTACTTTTCCTCGTTATTTTCCTATTTCCTTTTCTTTGTTAAACTCAATTATAACATTATTTTTAGCCTTGTAGTATTAAATCAGGTGATATTTCTTTAGCGCCTTTTTTGTTATCATTCTCCATTTTCCACTATTTTGTTTGTGTGAACCCTGCCAATGAGACATAATTATGTTCACTTCTTTGTTCATATCATGTTTGACTATTTCTTTTGAATTAAGTAGTAGTCCCTTCCATCTACTTCACTCTCCGATTCCTCTTTGTTGTCTTATAACTTAATTGAATTAGTTAACTTAGTTAATCAAACATAATATTGTGTTATATAGCAGTGATTACCAAGCGATCTCCTTATGAAATTACCAAAGGATATTATGTAGCTGGTCACCCCACAGTCTCGGCGCGCATTGCTCGTCATTTCTCATTAATCTGTTCATAATTATACAGTCCTTTGCGGTAAAACCTGGAAATCGGAATTTCCTCTTCATGTTTTCGATGGCTAATGATAGGCGTTACACGGGGATAAACATGTTGCAGCGAAAGAAAAATATTATTTGTTGCTCTCAACGAGAGGTGATGTGTTTAAAGGTAATGTTGATGGTGAAATTTAAACGTGCATTCAAATTTATACGTGTTTAACACTATGAAAGATTGATGATGTAAGCAGTGGCGGATCCAGGGAGGGGGGCCGGGGGGTCCGGCCCCCCCCCCCCCCCCTTGAGAAAAAAATCATGTAAAATCACGTGATTTTTACCTTTTTGGGGGATTGGGCTCCCCCCCCCCCTGGCGCTCAAGGGGGGGGGGGGTGCAAATTGAAATTTTTTTGAGGATCAAAAAAAAAAATGTGCTCACTACCCCCCCCCCCTCCCCCCCCCCTCCCCCCCCCCTCCCCCCCCCCCCCCCCCCCCCCCCCCCCCCCCCACTGAGCGAATTTTTGGCCGGCGCGTTTTTCACATTTTCGGGAGCAAAAAAAAAAAAAGTTGGCCCCCCTCCCCTAAGAAATCCTGGATCCGCGCCTGGATGTAAGAATATATTGGTATTTATACGCTAGATAAATAATGAGGAGAAATAAAATAAAGAGCGTTTTGACGACTTTACTTAGGATTCACGAGACCGAATGACACGTGAGCGGTCGGTCTGGCGGCTCTGGCCCGTGCTAAAACAATAGCCCTCTGCTTTACATTTATTCTGCGAAGATAGGCCTATATTAGAAAGTGCCCGAAAATGCACGTAAAAACATTTCCCATCAAAATAGATGCAAACAATATTTAGGTTATGACATTGTTTATTGTTGTATAATAATATTTGGTACTTAATCCCATGCAGAAGACATTGCTCCTGTCTTAATTACATAGTCAAGTTTAAATCAAAAGGGCTATTGATGGAGAGAGTGATGTAGGTTAGAATCAGTAGGATCTTCGAAGACGGATGAAAACGAAAAAGACTTATCAAATGAATTTCTTTTGTCTTCGTGATTCTCTCATACTTATAGTAAATGGCAGTGTAAACTCCGACAATACTCTCGCGTAAAAAAACACTTCAAGCGTTTATAAGCATCAACCCATTAAAGGTACTATGTCCCTTTTGCAGCCAACCTCAAATTCTGTAGAACTTTGCAGGAATTATGAATATGTCATGTATGTCCTATCTGTGAAATTTAAACGTTAGCAGTGTCCTCATATTCAAATTATGCAAGGAAACCCGTTTACTTGCTAGACTTCAATGTCAGACACTATTGAGTGACTGACTGGCTTTTTTCTTCTTTGGTAATAACATACATGAAAAGAGTTGTAAAGGGTATACATGAGCATTTGTCTACATCAATAACCCACTTCTTGTGATGGCCAAGATTAAACTGATTGAATCTTTGCGCAGCATAAAACGTATGACCATTCGGTACAATTGTCTGAAAATCAAGACTATTACTTTTGGGCTCTATAGCCCTAAAGTCGATTTGACAACTAATAGTCGTTATTTTCCCACTTGAAGACATTTTCAAGCCCCACCTTTTTTAGGGAAGTTCTAAATTAGTATTATCTTTCAAATGCAGTTGTAATTTAACTTTTTCATTTTTTTGGCCTGCAAATGGGACATAGTACCTTTAATGACAAAGATTTCTTTTTTTAATTATTTTCCCATTAGCGTTCTGATATAATGCCCTCCACGTGTGCATGCCTAACGAACAAGACAAACCCTATTAGTGGTAATGCTCTTTTTACTTTTAATCATATTAATAAATTATGTGGGTGAATCTAATTGAATCTTGGTCACAGGCAGACGGTGGTGTAGAAAATAACCCAAATCATTAGATTCTTCCGTTGTTTGGGTAGACTTATGTCCGTCGGGTATCTGTGTCAGACAACCGCTTGGCTTGACAGCTGAACAGCTTATTTTGGTGGCTATCTATCTGGTTAAAAAAAATGAAAACACCACGATTTTATTAAGTTGCTTTTCTGTGAATGACAATAGCTTATAAGACTCAAGAGAAACGCAGAAAATTGAGTTTCTGAGACCTTCAATAGAATTTTCAAAAACTTCTATTAGAATACCGTCGCCAAACCACCCTTGCATGTATGCCGAACTTTTGTTACCCTCAATATATGATAAAACCACAAAAACCGCTCTGAGCACACCATTGAATACAATCTTTTTATGATTAGGAGAGGAGCGTAACCACAGACGCACGAGAAAACGAAAAAAACGAACGTGTCGTGTCGTGCCGTATTACGCGCGAAGTTTAGCAGGGCAAATATTACTCGTAGCAGACGATATTTGTACGAATGAAAAGGGCAACAGTGAGACACTTGAAACGAGTGTTTCTGACAGGTTGTCAATGCAGCGGGAGACTTGAACTCGACTTATTGTTACTTCACAACCCCGCTGAGAGAGAATTTAGGTTACGATTTCTTTCAAAACGATCGATTTTTCTCTAGGAAGGAACCGGTCTTTTTGATAATACTGCGAATACAACTTTCATCGTGTGGTGCAGGTGAGGGAAGGATCGCATCATTCGAAGATTGGAAGGAAAGTGTTATTCCTGGACAGGTGTGAATATTGACCAGTTTCAACATGAGATTTGTTTTGTGGAATTTAATCAATCTACTTGTGATATGGTCGAATGGAGGAGTGCGTGCCGATGGGACACATAAAGTCAAGGTGAGTTTCATCCCACTAATTTGGGGATATTATATTTGTGTTTGTTTTATTTGTTTATGATGTTCTGTTTGTTTATTGTCTCGCCACTTTCTTTCAAAGGTGAGACATGGGTCAGCCATCGTGTCTCTGATAAGGTAAGGTCATTACCACTCTGGCATTGAGAGAATTCCTTTGTGGACACATGTTTATTTTTGTTGTTGTTGTTTTTTAGGGGTTTATTGGGGGGTTGTTTCTGTTTAGTTTTTGTTGTCTTTGATTATAACGAGGGGCTAAATCATAATGCACTTGTCATATGCAGTAACGTTGATAAGAAATCAACCAAAACTAAAACTCAGGTTTAAATAATATAGAGTGGATCATATTGGTAGTGGAGATGGTGCTCATCTTGTGTCGTAGTGTGTTTATTCATTGGTAGTCATACATACATGTGACTCAACGAAACCTTTGTTTACCTCAAGCTTCAAGGCTACTACAGTGACGATGCGTGTCAATATCATGTAGGCATAAAAGAATTGAAAAGAGATGAAACGTAGGTCAATCATCCCTTTCATTATTAATCGATAACTCTCTGTCTACCTTTCTCCTTTCCACAAAGACCATTGTTCTTATACTTGCTAGTATAGTTGCATTACAGATAGCATAATCTATATTTCCTTTCTAGTCAAAAGGGCACTCGATACCTAAAGTAGCCAATAGAACTCATGTCACAGGCTTGAAGAGTCAAGGCTAGAACACAGCATCTGAACAATAATGAAAGGGGGGGGGGTCGGCCAAAAATTTCTGAAGAGTTATACAATAACCATTTCACACCAAGTTTTCACCTGAATTCACCTGCCTTGTCGGGCTCTTTGTGAGACCATAGGTCCACGGTATACGATACAAGCCCTCTCACTTGCAATCTAACTTCTACTGCATGTTTCCTCAGTACATTTCAAATTCGTGTCTTTCTTCTTGTGATGGCAATACATAATGTCAGTATTGGTTTTATCATTTGATATGTGATATTTGCATCTTTTATATTTGAGACAGTTTTTAGCACAAATTTGCCTAAGACTACATGAGTATATCTGTTCACAGTGTTTCTTCATCTGAAATTCCTTCGCAGAGGAGTTTATCCGATTATCTGGATTTCAATGAAAAGGGGTATTTCATGCCATTAGCATTAAAGTGGAAACTCTGCACGTACAAGTAACGTGTAGTTGTATGCTTTCTTGAAGTGTATTTCTAGTTCTCATTTTCGGTTATCCTTGAGTAAATTCGACTACTCGTTCTAATCGAATTTCCGAACGTCCAAACCGGATTACAGATAATCCATAAACACAGAGACAGACGAGGGCTTATTGCTTAGGTTTTTAAATCTTATGCCAGTTTGTATTGTGATGTATTGCATTCAGGTGGGTTTGGCAACAACGATCAATAGACAGAAAATAAATATGATTTTACCATCTTTCCAAAGTCACTGCTTGTCAAAAAGACTTACGAAAAAAACCTCGTTTTTATGATTTTTTTAACGACTGAGTTACAGATTTCGTTCCGCTTTTTGATTCTTATCCTCTTTTTTAAAGCACATCTATTATATTTCGTCATTATTTCGATGCTCGAAAAAAAAAAGATATATCAAATATGTAATAAAGAGAAAACATTAAAGATTATTCCTATGTCGTTCATCAGTCTACATGATCTATAAACTGATAAGCCTTCCATAGACAGTTGGAATGGTTTGAACTGATAAAAAAAAAAATGTACACCCTTCCACGCCCCTCTTGCGTACAAGTCAGGAGCTCCTTCTTCTTCTTCTTGAGCTATTTTGTATACAGAGAGAAAATGAGGAACAAGTTAAAATAAATCTGAAGTGTAGGGGGAAATAGATTTCTCCGGCCTCCTTTGGTAATCGTTGGTCGCTACGTGGGTATTCATTTCCTAGGAATCGTAGAGTCCCACGATTTAACCCAAAAAATAGCCCCAACCCTTCTTTCTAAAATGTAAAAACCTTGTACATGTATCAGCCTCTACACTAAATGAAAGATCGAAGAGAGCCAGCTAGAGATGACCAAACGAGACATGGGGATAGAGGAACATGCATGGGAATTTCGAAATTGATAGAGTTCAAGTAATATTTTGTATACAATACTGCATTGTGAAGTGTCATCGACCTGAAATATATTAACCAACCGTGACTAGTCTGTTCACCTCATTATTATTGTTAAACATATACATCGGTCATAAAACCTCTTTCAACTTTAACTTTGGCTTCGATTTCCACATTTCTACCTTCTGCTTGTTGTATGGTGTACACGACTGCCCCTCTCCCACACCCTTCATCTTACTCATAATAGAATTATCAACCAAAGGCGAAGACAATCTCTAAGATTGTTACGAAGGTTCTGTTAAACGTATAGTAGTATGTCTGAATTCTCACAAATCTATTTAATGCAGACTCGATTCTACCTTGAGACAGGACAGGTTGCATCTCTGACAGGTTGGAAGTCATTTTTTGAGTAAAATTCTCTACCGTTGTTCACTTCAAATTAAAGTTCAAACAGAGACTTCTTGTTCATCTTTGAGTGTATACCCGTCATTGATGATTCCTTAAAGTCATCAATCTTGTTTTAGTATGACCTCAAGATAATAGGTATCTCAGGGAAGGGGAGGAAGTGTCAGTTATAATGCCACTGAAGTTTTTTTGGCAAGTACTTCACCGGAAGTGCGAGGAGGTTTCTACGATGGCTTGGGGTGCCTATCCGCCTTTTGATTTCATTTGAAATGTGGGTCAATATCAAGTTTCTCGTCACTGTTGTGATATCTTCACGGTTGCCAGAATTGAAATGAGCAAGATATAGGAAGAGACATTGAATGGATAATAGAAGACATACACGAATTAATACTTCACACTAGGATGGTAGAAAAGGCGTTCATTGGATGCCAAGAGATGTGATGATTCATTCGAACTTCTGAGATGTAACCAAGGACATATCCTCCACTGTTGTGACATCATCTAAGTTAGCCCAAGGAGTTATCACACTAGTAACTCCACGTTTAAACCAGGGACATGCCCTGGTTAACCCATTATTATCATCTGAACGTCAATAAACAACACGGAACATGATTCAGGAAATTGGTAGTTATTAACTCTACCAATCAGGCCGACTTTCAAGTAGATTAACGAGTCAGTACATTTATTCATAGAGATGGAATAAGATTTCGATTTCTTGCAGCGGTTCAACATAAAAAATGTAACAACTACTCTTTTAAACCACTTTTTAATAACGAATTATAAAGAATTATTCGCTTTATAATATAAAACGACATTTGTAAACTTGTTCATTTCAATCTATCACTCCAAGTTGCCAGGAGGTTTATTTTCTCCCTTAAAAACTGAAATTAAATGTTTCTTCAAATTATGCAGAATTCTCGTTAATATAACTGAACTTAATAAATAGCGTAACTGTCTCTATTCTATGAAACTGTAGTGGATGGGGGGGGGGCTTATGAAAGGGGGTGTGAGCGGGGGTGGTGAGTAGGTAGGGACGGGTCGACTGTGTAGGAGATGAAGGGGAGTGGATGTATCGCTAATTTTGGACAAACAGACTCAACTTCCGTAAAATATACTTTCTCTAATATCCGTTTAGTCTGGGCCCTGGAGCGGTTAGGATTGACAGCTTTTAATAGTCTGGACATTACCGAGATGAAAGATACCCAACCAAATGACAACGTTCTACTTGATTCAATCATATGCGATGTATGGTGGTATTGTTTTGTCTTTGTGTTGGCACTAACGGTCGCATGCCTAAGTTATCTTACATTTCATGAATATGATGTGTTACATTACATTGTAAATTGATTTATATGATATATGTTTCCAAACAGAATATTTATTTGTTACAATGCATTGTAAATTGATTTATATGTTTATGAACAGAATATTGATGTACATCAATGAAATTTAATAAATACAATACAATACAATACATGTCCTGTACAAGTTGCCCTTCCAGTACAAGTTTCCCTTTATCTTAAAAACATGACTGGCGAAATGCATGGGAGACGAAATGTATGACCTCTTCAGACAAGTGGTCTTTATAGAGAGGTTTCCACTATAGACAGGTTTGACTGAATGGTTAAGATATCATATACCAACACGTGCAATTTCACCTGTTGTGCTAGCCAGCATTCCAATCTTACCCACATGCCATTATGAAGACTAACAAAGGATCGGTTTAATCCATTGAGATACGTCACACCTGATCAACCCACTCTTTACCAAGAAGTAAAATCTAGTAATTGTGATCCATGGCTGTGTTACCTGACTGTGTAAATAGAAAAGGCTCTTCACATGCTAAGTCTACATCCGATTAAAGGTATATTTCTGTGTCGATTCACAGAAGGATTCACAGAAAAAATAGAAATTTGCGCAACAATGTTAACAGGACGATTCATGACATACATGTTTACAAACGGATAGAACTATGTGTACAATATACACAAAATACAAACACCGCCGATAACAATCATGTAACATTACGCAATCAAATAAAACTTGATTAGGCAAAAATACAAATGAAATACGAACATTTTGTTTAACAAAACAAATGAATGATTCAACAGCTGTAAGATTTCCCTCTCATGTAGCAATACATCTCTTATTTATTGGGAGTATGTACAATTATTGTTATATTTTCATTTAAGATCGTGTGAATGTAGATTCAAAGAACACGTGCTAACCTGAAAGAAGGAAGGACGCAGGTGGAAAGAATGTTTGCATTCCTGAGTACTGTATATCAACAATAGCGCTGATTAATTGTGCAAATACTATAGACACAAAGCTCAAATAGAATCGTTATTGTTAAAACATCTTACAGCTAGCTATAGACATAGGAATGACGTGTTAAACATAGTGAAACTAGACACTTGCGGTTTATTTGGAAGCAGTCTTCAATTCATACTCTATGGTATATACTCATGTCTAGAGAGATACGTTATCACTGTGTAAAACGCAGTCA